AGCAGTTTTTGGATTTTTCAGCTCTGCATAAAAAGTTCTAAAATATATAAATTATAATTTATAAATTAAACATAAATAATACGCAGTCAGTTTTACCATTATTTTTTTCCCGATAAATGTAAGGAGATTGTGAATATCTACTGAAGTGAAATTTGTGTATTCTGCTATGGAAAGGAAAGACGTGATAGTTTTTATTTGTTTTTTGATTACTCTAAGTTTGATACAGTTTACTGTAACGTTTTTTAGTTCATGTTATTTATTTGCCAGATAAATGTTTAAGAAATCGGAACAAAATATTTTAAAAGCAAACTTTTAAAAATCACCTTAGACTGGCTTTTAAATTTTTTTTAATTGAAATTCAAATAAGTCGACGTATTTACGTAAGCTACTTTATAGTAAGGTATTAAGCAGTTAAGGTTGTTAAAATTGCGTGTGAAAATTAAGTTGGTGAAACGGAAAGATGGCGACGGCACCTCCCTTGCCACCGCGGCCGCAGGCGGCTCCCAGACAAAAACTGGCTCGAGTCAGACCAGTGCCCCGACGGGAATCTGTTCGAGTTCTGCTGCCCACACGGGCCAAGCGCTCCATCTACAGGAGTGTCCGAGGCAGGTTAGAGTGAGTCTTACATGCATGTGTATACTAATTATGTTGGTCCACTGGTGGTCAAATGTCAAATGGTCAGCAACACTGGGTTGTTGTTGTTATGTTGTTGTTTTTTTTTTTTTTTTTGTAGTCTTTAAAGTTTATTAATTGTAACTGTAACGTGCCTATCAGCATGGGATGGCTTGGTGAGACGGTAGTGAACACAACTGCTAACCAGAAAGTCTATATTGTTACCCCCCCCCCCTCCCTCCCCATTCTAGAGTCGTTGCTACCCCTCCTGGCGTCAGGAGCAAACTTTCAATGTTGCCCCCCCCCCCCCCCTTTTTAAAAAAAAAAAAAAAATTATATATAGTTATTCAACTCTCGCGTTAGGGGTCGGCGTTGTAGAGTCGGTAAAAGCTCATGGTTGCTAAACCGAAAAGTCTCGAGTTCGAACCCCCGGGCAGATGAGGCTCGTTAGCTGAGGACAGCCTCTCTTCTAGAAGAGACAACTCCAAAATTAAACAACTGCTGTCTTGTAGTTTGTTCTTGGTTGGACAAAGGCTATGGAAGCAATATCCAAAAAGAAAAGTAGGCTAATATCGGAGTCAAGGCCTCAATGGCGCATAACCAGTTGACACGTATCCTTAATTGTGTTGGAGGTGTGGTCGAGTCGGCAAAAAGTTCATGGTTGATAAATTCGAAAAAAAAGTCTCGAGTTCAAACCCTCTGGCAGATAAGGCTCTATCCCTTCCAACACTAAAAATTAAGAACGAAGAAGAAGAAGAACTCTCGCGTTGTAACAGTTACTATCTATCACGTAACCCATTTTTTTGTGTGTCACACGTTAGATTGGGTGTAGAAAACAGTTAAAACAGTCTGTAAATGCAAGTAGCCGTCTATTTTCTTTACTTCGACTTTTTGAGGGTTAGAGTTGTCGCGATTGGAGTAAAAATCAGCTAACATGGTTTAACAACTTATATAGGCTGTAGTGTGACATTTTGTATTGTCATACATCTTATATAACGACGACCCCTAACCCCAAGAACAAAACAACATCGGGCCATCTTAAAAGGTCACCTTATAGAATTCAAACCCAAATCGCTTTTTTTTTTTAATTTTATTTAATATATTCTTTTATGAACCAAACATTATAGAAGATATCCAACAAACCGAGCCTATGCTATAAATATACTGTAACTAAAAATAAAATGTTACGGTATAGTGGCGCCACCTGGGGTCGGCTGCTTATACATTCACTTCAAAGAATCTATGAATTAAACTTTAAGTTCCGGTGTGTCAGGTTGTCGTTGCCCTCTATCCCAGAGGCGTAGCGATGGGGGCAGGGGGTACATATGTCCCCGGGCGCCGACCTTAGGGGGCGCCAAAATGGGTTGTAAAAACAAATTAAAATGTCATTTTAGCTGCATTTTTGCAGTTTGAGGGGTGGGGGTGCAAATCTTAAGTTTGAAGGCGAGGTGCAAATCGAAAGTTTGAGGGGGAAGGGGGTGCAAATTGAAAATTTGTCCCCGGGCGCCGGGAAGGGTCGCTACGCCTCTCCTCTATCCATCAAACTAGTCGATGCTTACAACAGGTTTACGCTGACGTGGTAAAGTTAGATTGCTAGTGCTAGTTTAAGCTTGGGGTAGGGGTATCGATATTCTAGACAACATAATAATGTACGACAAGGAAGGACAAGTTCACAACGGCTCGTCTGTGAATGATGTTACACAATTTGTACCGAATTTACTCCCTCCCTCTCTCCATGCCTAAAGTCACGTGTCAAATAAGGCCCGACAGCCCCTTACCCCTCCCTCTACAGTATTTCTTCAACTTTTTCCCCGGGGGGGCACTTGATATTTTCGAGAGCTAAATTTTCCGGGGGGGGGGGGGGGGAACGACGACGACGGTCGCAGGCAAAAGTATGTTGTTTACTATATAAATTCCATTGTGTTCGGGGGGGGGGGTCAACTTTCTCTGCCCCTCCCCCCCCCCCCCCCCCCCGGAGAGATGCCTGGAAAAAACTCCACCCCCTCTCTAAAGATAATCATCATCATAATGCTGAAATAAAGTGACATTTTAAATAACTTATTTTTCTTAAAAATAACGTTAAAAAAACGACGCATATTTCTGAACCCTCCCCACCTAGCACAACACCACAATGTCTACCCCTCCCCTCCCTTTATCCCCCCCCCCCCCCCCCGTAGATGCGTGACGTCTCTTATAATTAAAATACAGGCGCTAAAACCAAAATAAAGTACACATATGCGTTTACAACCCTTCTTTTCAGTAGCGTAGCGAGGGGGGGGGGGGGGGCGGGCGGGGGGGGGGACATATGTCCCCGGGCGCCGACCTTAGGGGGCGCCAAAATGGGTTGGAAAAATAAATTGAAAGGTTGAGGGTGGTGCAAATTGAAAGGTTGAGGGGGGTGCAAATTGAAAGTTTGAGGGGCGTGCAAATCGAAATCTCGAGGGAGGGGGGGTGCAAATCGAAAGTTTGAGGGGAGGGTGCAAATCGAAATCTCGAGGGGGGGGGGTGCAAATCAAAAAGTTTGTCCCCGGGCGCCGGGAAGGGTCGCTACGCCTCTGCTTCTTTTAGACCGTGTCCTCTCTAATTAGACTAATATTTTTTTGTTGCGCTACAGGTAGGCATAGGGCCTACTGTATTTATAGGCCCTAATCAGAAAGAAAAAAAAATTAGTTATCTAGACCACTCAGTAATATTGAACAGATTAGGGCGAAAAAATAAACAGTGTTTTTCAACGCGTGAGCTCATCTTACAAAAATTGTCTGAATAGCTTTGGCGAACGGGGATTGGTGTTTGTAAATCAAAGTTGTGTCAATAGGTTCACGCATAGCAAGCAGGTGCATCCTGCTCAGGGGATCTTTAGGTCTGTGCTAATAGCCTATTAATTAGCTCTTATCCAATAGGCTATATATCTACACGTTTGCCCGTTTCAACACTCCCACTAATCGAACCGTTGCACGTCGTCCAAAAATAAAAATAAAATTTGAGGCAAAAAAAAAACGAACAACCCCAATAACGAACATTGAAATAAACAATGTATACATGTAAACGTAACATATTTTCTTTTCTTCTTTAAAATAAAATATATATTTTTTAAATTCTACGTCATTTTTTCAGAACTAGGCCCCTACCCCTCTCCATATCATACATAGCAGCAATAATAATTCTTTCCTCCCTTTCCGCTCTATCACGTAATGACAATCATGGATTATCCCTCTCTAGAAAAGTTCATTAACTTACTAAAATAATTAGGCCTAAAATATGATACACCTCTGTTAATTAAGTGGCTTTTGTTATTTTTGTTTAGCACTGTTAGGGAAGGAATGTGTATGGCCCCATCACTGAGTACAGTAGACCCAGTTACTGAGTACAGTAGACCTGAGTACAGTAGACCCCAGTTACTGAGTACAGTAGACCCAGTTACTGAGTACAGTAGACCCAGTCACTGAGTACAGTAGACCCAGTTGCTGAGTACAGTAGACCCAGTTACTGAGTACAGTAGACCCAGTTGCTGAGTACAGTAGACCCAGTTACTGAGTACAGTAGACCCAGTTACTGAGTACAGTAGACCCAGTTACTGAGTACAGTAGACCCAGTCACTGAGTACAGTAGACCCAGTTACTGAGTACAGTAGACCCAGTTGCTGATCCATTAGTATTTTCAGTTTGGGACCATCCATAAATGACGTCACGCTTTTTGGACCATTTTTACCTCTCCCCTCCGTCGCACATCGTCACAAAAAGCCAGACACCCCCCCCCCCTCCCCTAAAATGACCTCACACATCAGCCTACAGCCAGTGGCGTAGCGAGGTCGGGTGTCACCCGGTGCGGCAATTAATGGTGTCACCCCCCCCCCCAGAGGTATAGCGACCCTTCCAGGGGACAAACTTTCAAATTTTCGATTTGCACCCCCCCCCTCAAGTTTTTCTCTATATATTTTGCTAGTTTTTGCCTTGGTGTCATCCCCTAATACATCAAAAGTAGAATACAACAATACTTCTACTTTTGATCTTGTTTCATGAACGCACAGATACCCATTCCTCTACGTTCAGATGTCGAACACTGTTGTCGATCATTGCGTGTATGGATTGCTGACACATCTTTTATACATTTTTGTTCATGTGTTGTCTACTCTAAGCACAATTTAGCAACTATTAAGGGTAATTTGAGCCAATTGCGCAGCTATTAAAGGCATCGCGTTTCAGATCTTCTGCCGGTCATCCCCTTAGGCTGGTTGGTGGGCAGAAGCTTCTTCTGAGTAGTCACTTCGTAACAAAAATTATCGTTCACACACAACGAAAATAACGTATTTCAATATATTGTTTAGTTGTTATTTTACAATTGACTTATGTTGCATTTGAACATGGCTGTCTGATGATTTGATTCCTCAGGCTTTTGGAGAGGAAAGAGAAAAAGACAAAAATGGATAAAGTCCGGAGATTCAGCAAGGCGCTGAACCCGAAACACTGGCGGCAGCCCAAAGCTGAACCCGAGCCTTTGCCCCACCCCTCAGCCATGGGACTCATGGCCCTAGCTTCTCGACTTCAGGAGGGAGAAGGTAACGAGTACCAACACCAGCAGATCGACTCGAGGTCATCCACAATGAGTACATCGTCTGGTAGGGAAATCTCCAGTGGTGAAGGTAAGCAAATGATCAATTTTTAAAAATGTAAAGGGGTATATTGCTTTGTATTATTTAGTCCTTTAAAATATTTTATATAAACATTAGTTTAAAATTTAAAGTAATATTAAAATAGAATTATAATTAAAAAAGAAATAAATTAAGTTTAGCTCAACTGCATTTAAAATAAATGTAGGTAATTCTTTTTTTTTTAAATTTGATTTTAAATTTTCAGAAGTAGAAGAAAACTTTTATGAAGATGTTGAAATAGGCCCAGTGAAAGCTGCTACGTTTGCCGCCCCGCAAGCACGGCAGACTGGTGCATTTTCAAGTGCAACACACAGATCATTACCTATGCCAAAACTTCCACCTCGACTGCTATCCAGTAAAAACTCCAACAGCAGGCACGGTGCTAGAAATCTGGAAGATGCTGACACAGCATCGGGACCACTGCCAGTCACACGAGTGGCCAGTTACGAAGAACAATCAAACCTGACAAAAGCCAAGAATTGGGCGACTAGCCTCACTACCAAATTCAGTATGAAGCCTAAGGTTGAAACACCGGGCAAAACAAAGCATGGGAAAGAAGACATGGAGAAAAACAACCATACACAGTCACTGAGAGAGTCACCCATGTCTAGAAGCTCTACTGCTCAGGCAGAAGGAACTCCATTGAGGTCGACATCAAGAGAACAGGTTAATGACAATGCTTCCACAAAAAAATCTTCCAATGACTCTGTAACAAACAGACATCAGACTTCCAATGAGAAGACTCCCAGTGAGACTGGCGCAATGTCACGCCCTGAAAATAAACAAAAACCTGTTGCCGCAATAGAAAAAGATAATGAACCTGCTCCTATCGCACCTAAAAGAAGAAAAGCGATGAAATTAAATGCAGAAAAAAATGGCTCAGGAAGCGATATTAAAGATTCTGATGTAAAAGTTGAAAATTTAGCTCATGGTAATTCTATTCCGAGCAAGGACGATACAGAAAGCAATAAAGACAAACGTGTTGAACATAGTAAGGCACATGACACCAATGGTTCTAGTCTAGAACCCAAACATGAAAGTGACAAACCAGCCAGCTCCCCTGAGGCCAATGGTAAGGCAGAGCCCCCTAGGCCTAAGCCTCGGAACATAAATAAAACTTTAATGGCAGCGGAGGTGTCCAATCCACCTTTGCCACCTCGCGGGGAACCTGCCCCAAGGATCAAAAAGTTGTTAAAAAGTGTCGACTTACCCAGCAACAACACTGTTGCCAAACCAGTAAACCCAACACGGACAACTGATGCAGATATTTCAAGACCTCCACGACCACCTCCAAAACCTCGTGTCTCACAACACAGTGAAGTTTAGTTTTCTAATAGTGTTTGACAACTGATTATGATGATGTTAAATATTGATTACTAAAAAATTCCATTGATGTTTTTTATTGAATTAGTTATAATCAACCCATGAATGTTTATTAATTGGGCATCACATATTCGTTTCAGAAAAAACGGACTCTTCAATTTCAAATTAAATTATCAAATAAAACTATTGCAGAATAGTTAAAAAATAAATGTTCAAAAATAAGGTTTATAACGGGGTTGCCTGGGAGGAAAATTAGATGTATTATTATAATCTCAGATAATTGTTGTATTAAGTATAGAATTGTTGTCAACTTCTGTGATTTTTGTAATAATGGGATTAATTTTTTTCTCTGCATAATAACTGTTCGATCTAAAAGAATTTCTTTATATTATTTTATTATATTTAAAAATAAAAATCTTAAATGTTTATTCAATTAAAACTTTCCTGGACATAAAATATGGAAGAATAGAATGAATTGACAAATATTTTAAACTGGGATTGTCAAAGTTTTAACAATGTTGAGATCTTGTTGCAAATTTGTGTGTGATTCAAATGTTTTGTTTTATAATTTAATGTGCAAAGAGTAGAAAAAGTTCCCAGTTATACTACTATATCAAATTTAACTTGCAATTAGTGAATATATAGAAAGTAAATAATTTTTTCATTCAATTAAGTAACATTTAAAAAAAATTCTATTACTGTTAAGCTTTCATTTTTTTAAAACTGTAAATAATCTTTAGTTTCACACTTTAATTACTTAAAGAATGTAACTATTTTTTTAGAAATAATCTCAAGTGCAATATCTGATAAAAGAGATTTTAAAACCTGATGTGACTTTTGGGACTTACCCACTGTAGCAGTAGAACTCTGTAGCATCAAGCATATTCCAAAGAAACAATGAACTTGGTAGTGACAGTTTTTATTTTTTTTATAAAAAGATATGATTAGAATTATTTTTAATGGGAAATCCAGCAAATAAAATTTTGTAATCTGAAATGAAAGTTTAGTGGTGTCTATGTTCCATGTTTATTGTGAATGAGGTGTACATAAATAATTATAAATTAAAACAATTTACTTTTTTTAACTTTAAAAGCTTTCATGTGAATGATATTACAGCAAATGATTAACAAACATAACATGCTGTTGCATATGCACACTAATATTTCTTGTCATTCTAAGTCATTCAAGATATTTATCAACCTTTGAAAAATTACAAGATTTTCAAACTGCCAGGATTAACATAGTTAACATTCTCTTTGCACTTAACTATTGAAGAATTGTACTGCAATTTTTGCATACCAGGCACAACAAGTATTAGATCAGTTTGATGTAAATTTTAAAGATGAAACATCTTGTTTAAAAACTGGGACAAATAAGGTTTTCTCCACAGCTACAGTATAGGATTGTGTCCCCTTAGGCTAGTCCCCATGGGGCTAAAGGATAAGAGAAAGCTTACTTTTTCATATGGTTTTGGATAAACAAGTTTCAATTTTTTTTTACCCTTTTTAAAATTTAGTTAATGAAAAATAGTTGTCTGAATTGTTTCTGTATTTTATTGAAGATCCATAAAGAATAACTTGATCTGTTATAAAATAATGGTATCATTGTTAATATGTAATGTTCATACTTAAGTATTCTTGACAAATATAAGCTGTATGTTGATGTATTATTTACCCAATATAATTTAATCTTGTATGATTTAAGTTCAGCAATAAATGTGTGTATTTCAAAGTGATTTTCCACCTCTTTGGAGTATAATTATGTAATATGAGCTTATGTTGGTTCAGCCAATGTTATTTAACTGCCTTTATTGCAGTACAGTTTTGATTAATACTAGTTTTAAAAACAAGATAATGGTGCTTTTATAATTTAGAACAAGTTCACAAACAAACCATGCATGAAATGATCTCAATATTTATAACAGCTAAGAGATTCTATCTATAATATTGCTCATACATCTCCATTAGACAAAGCTCATTAGACAAAAAAAAAAACATTTAAAAAGTCAACTTTTTGTCAAGTCAAGCATTTATTTTAACAACACTGCTTCTCTATGAAAATCATATGAACAAATAGAAAACTTTTTATCACTAATATACATCTGTACTGTTCATTATGGTCAGTGCTTAAACAAATTCAGCCAATTTCACACATTCATCATCTGAAAATAATTGTTATAAATTCATAAAACTAATATACTTAAAAAAAAAAAAATCACTATTTTTTATGTATAAATCAGAGCAAGTGAAAAATCATTTTAATATGATATGAGTAGTGTTTTTTACCGCACTGATTAAGTCATGGCCTCTATTTGAAAAACATTGATTTAACTAATCATTCAGATAACAAGTAATGCACTGATTTATTGGTTTCTGTTTATAACAAACTTCTAAGAATAAACCCCTAAGAGAATCAACACAGAAGAGTGTTCAGATTAAATGTTCTGCAAGATGTTTAGTACAGGTACAACCTATTAATGACAGTATAAATATAGCTTTAGGTGTTTTGTGATCATACAGCAGACAGATCACATAATTCGTTACTAACAATTTAATTTAAAATTAACCAAACGTATTCGTATGAATAAAATTATTAAAATATCTTTGTAAACAAGTAACAATTCATTCATTACCTGTGCTAAAGAATGAAAATGTGTAACATTATTCTGAGCTGTCCTCCAATTCAGGAAACATTGGTACAGCATTCTCAAACAATCCTTTAGCTTTCATTCTAGCAGACATTGCCTTAACGTCTATAGTTCTGAAATATACAAGTTGGTTACAATATAAAAAGTTTACAATGAGCAAAGATGCAATCTAAAAAGAGATGTTACCAGCCATCTAAAGGTGAGAATTTTTTTCTCAAGCGATTTTTTAAAGTAAACCTTTCAAATGAAGCATCAATTGAAATATAAGTTAAAAATCATTGGGGCTTGATAAATGCTTGTAATCAAACTATAGTAGGTTATAGCCGTATTGTTTTGTTAATCTTGTAGTAATCCCCTTTCAAATCTAGAAGTGATCAATTCACAATCAGTAAAACTATGGAAAACAAGTGTCTGAAGTTTTAAAACAAAAAAACTCTGCCCTATTATATAATGCATCATTTAAATTTTTAATATAAATATCCAATTTTGTATCTAAAATTATATAGTAAAGTGCTAGTCACTCAAGAAATAGTTTCTAGACGTAATTAAAAGCTACAATTGTTTACCCCAATTTGATACTAATTTCAAAAAATGTTTTAAAGGTTATCATGCTCTATTTTCTTGTGTTTACTTTTTCCAGTATTGCTGACATGAGTTCAATTTACATTGGCTATAGGTTTGGTATAAATGAACACTGAATTTTTTTTTTTTTAAAATAAGTGTTTTTAGTGGTTTTTTTTAGGGAAAAAAATATTTTATATGTAATAAGTTGTTCTTACCTTTAGCTTATCAGACATAATATAACTACAAACACCAATTGTAAAATTAATACAATATCTACACTGATGCAGATTTTTCAAAATAGACCTTGTTTAAATATAGGCTTAAATTTTTAAATTGATCATAAAAAGATGTAAATAATTCCAAAAAAATAGAGGTTTGATCTTTTAGGTAAAAAAAGGTGGGTCTTTGTTGCACCTTAAGCTAGGAACATTTTAATTATGAGCTAAGTAAATTAGTACCTTTTAGCTTCATCAAACGCTGCTTTTCTTGGCCATGAGACAAAATATTTGTAAGAGAATGCTGCCCCTATTGCCACAGAGAGAGCCACCACAAAGTCTTTTTTAGTTTTATTTAGAAGAAGGTTGCGAAGGGCTGGTTTGGTTGCCATCTGCAAAAACATAGTTATCAAAAAAATATTCCAAATTTGAATTATGTTGTTGAATTTAGGTCTATTTCAATTTGGTTTATCTTTTACAATGGTAGGTATAATAGCATTTCAATAAATACATTATTCAAAACATGTAGGCCTAGAGCACAAAAAAAAATTTAGGCCTGTAAGTAAAAGAAATTGATAAATTTCCATTAGGCCTGACCATCTGAAAGGAGGTTGTTTATATTAATGTTTTGAGTTTATATTTAACTCAATGCAACAAGCCTGCCGGTTGGTTGAGGCCAGGCAAGGGGGAAATTCTGTCCAGGTTTCAAGGGGTTAACTCAAAATATCGTCCCTAATGTTGCATTAAAATATTGGAGATTAAGTGTTTGCATCGACTCAAATTGGACCACATTCATAACCCTACCAACTAAAATTTATAAATTATAAGGTCCAACCTAAATAATAAAATATTCAGGGCCAAAACTGGGATCTTGGTAAAATGTGAGATGCAATGGTGAGGCAGTAAAATAATTTCATAAGTAGGCCTAAGTTATTGAAATCTGCTGAATTACAGGTAAACAGCAAAGGACAAAAATTCATGTAACCAACGGTTGTCACATTAATCTAGCATTTAACCACCTTGACATTTATGATTTAATAATAATTAGATGTCCGTGATTCGCCTTTTAACCTATCCTATAGTATTACTCGCTAACTTGGAGACATGGTCGGTTGCTAACAACAATATGGCGTCCGGACCGGACGCATGACTTCCGACGATTTTTTTGCCAAATTCCAGAGACCTTCTACTAATTACTTTTAAAAGCGTTTACCACGCGCAAAATGGCAGGGTTTTCACGTTATAACAACAAGCTATAGGTGGCAGGGCTATATATCATATATGCCAGAAAAGCATTTCAAAATTTGCGTTGGAGAATGAAGGCTAAATTTAAAAGTTGGTTTCATTAAAAAATACTAGAACTTTTTAAATATAAATTTCCATAGTACAAAATTTATTTCCATACTAAAGCATTATTAGGTTTATCAATCTATGCAAAAATAAATCAAATATTGTCAGCTGTTTTTTTATAAGACTGGCCAGAAAATGACAACTTAATTCCTTTTTTTTGGGGCCCACTATTTGGTGATCACTAGTGAGGAACTCTTGTGCATAGCCAGTTAAAAAGTCAAACCGGACTCATGGCTTTTTGTAGCTTCAAACAAAATGGAGGTTGTCATGAAGAGGTGTGTCGTGCATGGCAGTCAGTGACAATAATTAAGTAATTTAGTTTAAAACGAACTAAAAATTTCAAAATTAGTACCTAATGGATTAAATAAGGATGTCTATCATTCAGTGGTCATGTTTAAATTGAAAATTGGGTAAATTTTTGATTTGGTAAGAAAATCTGTAAAATCATGATATAGCCTCCTTTATTATTCCGGAATTGTACAGCAGTAAAAAAAACCATGCCGTAGTCTGCCGAGCCGTTCCGGAAACCACCGAAAATACTGTAAACCATCATTTATTTGCCGCCATATTATTTTTAATACATAATGTTTAAAAATGTGCATGGATTGATTTTAGTTGCATTTTAAATACTGTTTGCTAATTATTTTGTATTTCTAATTATTTTAAGTGTATATGCTAATTTTTTCTGCTACTAAACATTGTTCTGGTTCTTCTTACTACTTTTAACTTTAGTAAATCTAATCGTCTTATTTTACTAGATCTAGATGATCTAGTTGTCGCAAAACTTCTGCAAGTTTTTTTTCTGTTTCTTAAAAAAGCAATAATTACTACACTCGACTGTATTAATAATATTTAGATTTACTAATTGTTACTAACAGGGTTCGTACTACTTTTTGAAAATGAAATTCCACAGATAATTATACAGATAATGTGTTAGCGAATATTTTATAAAATGATGACCATTTGTACTGTAATTACAATTACTTATACTAAATTGACAC